AATCTTGGATGAGAAGCTTCTTTCCTCAGCCAGAACACTGAAGATGGGTCATGGATGGGTCCTTCAGCATGACAATGATCCAAAAACACACCACCAAGGCAAAAAGGAGTGGCTCAAGAAGAAGCATATTAAGGTCATGGAGTTGCCTAGCCAGTCTTCAGACCTTAATCCTATAAAAATTTATGGGGGGAGCTGAAACTTCTTCAAGTTACCAAGCGACAGCCAAGAAACTTTAAGGATTTAGAGAAGATCTGTAAAGAGGAGTGGACCAAAATCCCTCCTGCGATGTGTGAAAAACCTCGTAACCAACTACAAGAAACATCTTACCTCTTTTGTGATAGTTTTGGACAGAGTGGCAGTGGATTAAAACCACTGTCAAGCTTTTATTGCTTTCTGGGGAAATAATCCTCACTATTTGTCATGTTTTACCGTTGTCATCGAAAGAATCCAAAAATTTGGTTTGTCCTTATAACAATATTGTTAGTGAAATCTCCCAGTGGGGACACTAGTTATGGTGACAACCAGGGATTTCCTCACTTTGGAAGGATTTTCTCTCACTTCATGCTTAGACTATGGGACAGGAAGTGGAGGTAAATCTCCATAACAAAAAAAACACCCATCAGGGGTTATAACCCTTTCTTACTCCAAAATGAAAAAGTGTTGCCTTTAGTTGTACTTTAACATGTAAAAACACAGCCATTGTGACAATATGGAGTACCTGATCTGGAGAACCCATATTTATGAGACGATCTTCAACACTTCGAACTGCACTGACAGCCTCCTTCTGATAAGCTTCATACATCACTGATGTACATTCACTGCAATCTTAAAAAAAAAAAGACATAAATCAATCTCCATGGCACTGTACAGTACATGGTAGAGGCCTTATAAAAATAAATAAATTTAATCATTAAAGACCAACTCTAGCAAAACTCTTTTTAGTTTTTCTAAGCAAAGGTTATTGCTGTCCATGTTTTTGAAGATATTTCTCCTCAGTTTCTATCCTGTATGACTCTTATCAGGTCAGGAAGTGCTGGAAAGCTCCTCAACAGAACACAGACAGTAATAAAAGCCTTTTACAAACAAATCTGCATGCATATATACCTTTTAGCCAAACCATTTAGGTGTACAGCCCATGGTGCTACCTTACAACTCTGTAAAAAAAAAAAATCCCCTGAAGCTGGTTTTACTAGTAGTTGCATGTGTAGGAAGGTGCAGTCTATTTTTTCCACTGTGGGTGGCGCTCGTCCAGAGTGGCAATGCAGCTGGAAGGGGATTCAAGGAAAGCTAGGTTTCTCTGATTCCTTTGGTTCCCTGGAGTGGAGTCAATGTTGGCTACGCTGCATCTAGGTGATCCTGGTGGCCTTCTTGGGTCATGCAGAGTCTTTTTAAGTTCCTGCCCCCATGTTCTGATGCACATTTCTGAAGTGGCTAGTGTAGGGAGGGCATACCTGTTTGTCAGGGACAATGCTAATGGGAGGAAGAGGTTCCGTAGGAGAAGGGGAAAGCTCAGGGCCTACATCTGCAACTTCAGCAAGCTCCCCTCTGGGTTTGGATCAGACTAGGGTTGCCACCTCCAACCCTTAAAACCAAACACACATTAATTCCACAGGTTCTGTGGCTGATTAGGGTGATTAAATAAAATCACTTAGTGCCTTATCAGCATTAAATTAGTCTCAGAACCTGTGTAATTAATGTGTTTGGTTTTAGAGGGATGAGGTGGCAACCCTAGACAGGACAGGTCACATTCCACCCTCCTTGGCAGGAGCTGCCTTCAGTTCAGCGCTACTCACCATTGACTCTTGACTATATTGACTGTGGGTGGTAAGGGTGAGCTCCCCACCTGGCTGTTGTACTGTTTGCAAGTTCTTCAATACATTGGTTACAGCATTCCAGGCCTCTGTGTGTTTACTGCTGCGGCACTACGCTGCGCCTAAACAACAGATTTCCAACATAGAAATGGACTAAATTTGAGGATAGGTGCCAGAGATGATCAATGAGCCTGCTGGGCCTTGTTTTGTAAATGGTTTCTTTTGGTATAAAATGCCAACATAAACCCATGTGTCCTTGAAATTTTAGTGGGGCATGTAACTTAGTAAAACTCCCTTTATGGCAGTGGTTCTCAACCTGTGGGTCGCGACCCCTTTGGGGGTCGAACGACCCTTTCACAGGGGTCGCCTAAGACCATCAGAAAACACATATTTCCGATGTGTAAAGAGCAGCTACTGTGTAGAAAGCAGCTGCTGTGTTAAAAACAGCTACTCTGTTAAAAGCAGCTACTGTGTTGAAAGCAGCAGTATTGGAGGTAAAACGACACTTCATGAATTATAATTACTGGGTAACTAATTTTATGGTTGGGGGTCACCACAACATGAGGAACTGTATTAAAGGGTCGTGGGCATTAGGAAGGTTGAGAACCACTGCTTTATGGGATTGCTGGTATGCTGACCATTTGTGCCAAAGCCCCAGCAAAAAGATGGGCAGAGGCAGAAGGATTCAGTACATGGGGGATCAGGAGGGCACAATACTGGGATCCAAAGGTACAGTACAGTTTCCTGGACACTGCCTGGGCCAGCTTAGTAAAAGGTGTGACTGTCCCAACAAATCCAGGACAGTATGCAAATATGATATAATGCAATTTTATCATGGGGGCCCCTGGGCAGTGCCCAGGGATGCCCATGCATTAAGATGGCCCTGGGAATGGAAGTCAGGGGAGAAAGTCTTATCTGATCGCTATTGATGTGCATCTTTCCCGTCTTATTCTGATTTGTAAAGCTGGGACAAGGGATGGACAGGAGGGGCAGCTGCCCTGGCCACTGAGGAGCAAGGGGACAGAGAATGGACACAGGGCAGTAAACCCATTCTATGGCATGCATTAACAGTGGAGGAGGGGGTGCAGTTCCATATCTTTGCCCTGGGTGCTAGATGAACTTGCCCCGGTACTGCTGATATGATTATTTATGTGTAAAGATGAACTTACCAGCACAGACAAATGCAGGGGTCAAATTTTGTCCACATTTCTAGCCACTTTCTAATGTTTTTACCCTTATGTTGTTGGGAGTGTACACAGTAGCACTGGCAGAGGTAGAGAAATACCAACATTACATTCAGGGCTGGTTCACACTAGGAATTGTACAGGAAAGCAGTGCAGGTTCCTGTGTGATTCACATGCAATTCTGTGCAATGCGAGTTCAGCTCATTGCATTTGTGACAGTGTTTGGGGTGTCAATTAAAATTGCACTGACACCCACTGCAGATCACAAGGGCAGTGCACTTTGAATGCGGTGCTGGAAAAAAAAACCAACATGGGTTTCCCACACTGTGTTCTTCTTTTTTTTTTTTTATTATATCTTTTTATTACATTTTTTTCCAATACAAAAATAAGCATTATATTAAACTTTTCAAACATACACACATTTCCACATATATTGCCTATTTCCCTCCCCTCCCACCATCTTTCCACACCCTCCCCCATTGAATATTTCCTGTCCATATTCCTTCAATAGCTTCTTGTCTATATGTATATCCCTTGCCCTCCTCCCTCTTAACACCATGCAGGACCCTCCAACTATTCAGTTGAACACTCCCTACTCTGACCACCTTATACTCCAACAGCTTCCAAATATCTTTTAGGTGTTTTAAAGTCATAACATCTACTCCACTTTTTTCTAAATGTTTCCATTTTATCTTCCTCCATGTGATATACTGTAGCTCGTCCAACTTTTTTATATACGCAACCCTATTTATCCAATCCTTCATTGTAGGGGGCTCCTGGACCTGCCAGAATTTGGGAATAAGTCCTTTGGCCGCACTAATTAAATGGTATAATATACAATTTGTATATTGTTTCACTGAAGTCTCAGATTTATGAAATACACACACCCACGGATTTTTCTATATGACAATCCCCGATATCCCCTTTATATACTGTATTGGATTATTTCTTGCCAGAACTCCTGTATTTTAGGACAATCCCACCATATATGTTCCCTCACCATGTTCTAGTGTGAACTGGCCCTCATTGTCAGATAAAATAACAAGATACAATAAAATTGCATGATAAGTCTCTTATAACCCTTTAGAAATATGACTGACATTTATTAATTACATGCACTTCTAGACATTAGGTTGTCATCACACTTACCATGGAAGCTGGGTCTGTTATCTGCATTGTGATCCCAGCATCTGACCATTAACCCTTTGGCTTCTGGCACCATTCTAACATCACTGTACTTGTCTAGGACACTCACTGCGGGCCTCTGGCCATCAGTTACACAGCGCAGGACTACTGCTGGAAGAATACCTAAGAAACAGAAGAAGAGATATAAGATATTGACAACACTCATGCATTTTTATTTGGGCACCAAACTTTTCAGATAAGTAAAATTCATAATAGAAGATGTAGCTCTCCCATATGAATGCAACACTTGTAACATGTATGTGACTGCATGACAGGTTTGATAGGTTCTACTGAGCAACAAATCTGGTATGCCATCATATACGGGGGTTCTTCAAGAGGTTTCCGCATTTATTTATATATATATATATATATATATATATATATAATTAGAGTTTAAAAAGTATGGAATATTTTTGAAGACCCCTTTCATATATAATACATGGCTACATTCTCTGATCATGGCTTTGTGTTATGCAAGTTAAACCTTGCATGCAACCCTGAGACTGTGCTAGCCATGTAAATACACTATTTCTCTCAACAATTCCCCCACCTAGGGAGCATTGCAAACAGAAGTAGAAATAACCTTAGATTGCATGCTTCTTGAGGGCAGGGACTGATGTGAATGTACAATATATATGTAACGCACTGCATAAGTTGACGGCGCTATATAAGTACCTGAAAAAAATAAAATAAAAAAAATATAAATAACACAGAAGCTAATTATACACTATATTGTCATAAGTATTGGGACACCCCTTCAATTCTTTGGGTTCAGGTGTTCCAATCACCTCTATGGCCACAGGTGTATAAAATCAAGCACCTAGGCATGCAGACTGCTTCCACAACCATTTGTGAAAGAATGGGTCGCTCTCAGGAGCTCAGTGAACTCAAGCATAGTACCGTGATAGGTTACCACCTGTGCAATAAGTCCATCCGTGACATTTCCTTGTTACTAAATAACTAAAGTTAGTGGGATTATAACAAAGTGGAAGCACCACGAAGCGGTAGACCACGTAAAATGACAGAACAGGGTCAACACATGCTGATGCACAGAAGTCGCCAACTGTCTGCAGAGTCAATAGCTAAAGACTTCCAAACTTCATGTGGCCTTCAGATTAGCACAACAACAGTATGTAGAGAGCTTCATGGAATGGGTTTCCATGGCCGAGCAGCTGCATCCAAGCCTTACATCACCAAGTGCAATGCAAAGCGTTAGATGCAGTGGCGTAAAGCACGCCGCCACTGGACTCTAGAGCAGTGGAGATGTGTTCTCTGGAGTAATGAATCACGCTTCTCTGTCTAGCAATCCAATGGACGTGTCTGGGTTTGGCAGTTGCCAGGAGAACGGTACTTATCTGACTGCATTGTGTAAAGTTTGGTGGAGGAGGGATTATGGTGTGGGGTTGTTTTTCAGGAGTTGGGCTTGGCCTCACAAATGCGCTTCTAGAAGATTGATCAGACATTCCCAAAGACACACTCCTATAGCTTGTGCACAACCTTCCCAGAAAAGTTGAAGCTGTTATAGCTGCAAAGGGCGGGGCCAACTCAATCTTGAACCCTACGGACTAAGACTGGGATGCCATAAAGTTCATGTGTGTGTAAAGGCAGGCCGACCAATACTTTTGGCAATATAATGTATTTCAACAGCTGGAACACTGTTATGCAAGACACATGTTTAAAGATTAACTCCACTTTTGTTGAGAAAAAAACCTTCCCCTCTGGGTGACCTGTGTAAATTACAGGAATTTTAACATTTGTTGCAGATTCTTACCTTTTGCTATTCTCAAGAAATAGCTGTTTTTGTTTTCTCTGCATGCTTTTTTATGTGCTCAATGAATCTGTATGAAAGTGATTAAATAATTATTCAGCTGCTGCACCTGCAGAGCTCTGAGGAAAAGGGGCAGGGTCTGCATCCCTTTAGTCATGATTTTCCTTTGGGGGTATATAAAAAAAAAAAGCTTTTTGTTGCAGGGGATGCTGAAAAGCTGATTGTATCTTAGTTCAGACTTTTGGGAAAAACAGCCAATCACACAAGCAGGCAATGACATTTCCTGAGGGTGTTCTGTACACCATCTGTGTACAGGACACCTCCAGGCTGCCAAAAGTTTTAAAAAATGACAGTGCTGCAGATTGAAAAGGGAAGGTAATTTTTAATAACATTCAATTACAATATGGCTTGTGTAGTAACTGTATAATATATATATATATATATATATATATATATTATATATATAATGTTTTTTTTTTTTTTTGCTATTTTTTTTCCACAAAGGTGGAGATACCCTTTAATATATGTAGTGCTACCCTCGTGAGGGCTGCTGTGTGTGTCCCTAAGCTCTACACAGCCTGGCAACATGCATTTTCTACACTTGCATCCACAGTCAGTGGACAGTGTGTGAGCTTGGTTTTGCTGCTATTTTATTAGGAGAAATAAATTGGATAAGGAAATGAGGATTATGGGATGCCCAGTTGGCTTGAATCAATGAAAGGTAGACAACATCTTTCCAATGTACAGAAACAGATCCTAGACTGTTCTTTTCCTAGAAAGCTGTCAGTCTTTGTGGATCAGTAGCAACATCCATTTATGGGGGAAGAACTCACAGCCCCTCAAAAATCAGCTTAGCCTCTTGTATCTACATGCAGAGATGTCTCCTTTCCCCTGTAGAACTGCTCCCAGATCCACATGCTGCAGACACTACCATCCCTCCTGGCTGCTCTGAAGATCTCCCAGGACAAGGATAAAGGATTGAGCCCAGAGCTGTCCTTTGAGAGCTTGTTACATGTGGTAGACTTTCCCCTTGAGAATCCTATGGTGTGCTGATGTACTGCTGAGCCAGCCCAAGCCCAGCCTGGAGGTCAGCCCCCCTAGATCTAGGGGTCCCCTCCCAGGCACCAACAGTCTCCCCAGCACTCCATATTCCACATAACTCCCCTGTCATCCTGACTCTCCCATTTTTATGGGCCAGTCCACCACTCTACCAGGGCCTCCAAACCTGGGATTGGCCAGACTCCCATAAACATGCAGATTCGGCCTCCACCCCTTCCTGCTCACCGACTTCTGGAAGTTTTTTTGGCCCTCCAGAGTCAGGAGGAGGGGACAGAGCCACAACCTATTAAGTCATCCAGCTGACCTAAAAAAACCCAACCTCAATCACAGACTCACACAGTTACCATGTGTCATACACAATGATTTTACCTGCAATACACTGCACTATTCTAGAAGCACACTAGTGGGTACTACATATAAATCAAAGAACAGAAATGTCATATACTACAGCTTGCCAGACCTTAGATGGTGTGACTGCATTCCTGTGTAAGCAGAAGAATGCCACCAGCACATCGTGGATGTCCAATGCTTTATTTATCGAAAACATTGTTACAGGCAAAAGCAACATTTCAGAGCCTCGCAGGACCCTTCCATAAGCCATGCAATCATTGACACATGCCTGAGGAAGGGGTCCTTTGAGGCTCCGAAATGTTGCTTTTGCCTGAAACAATGTGTTCGGTTAATAAAGCTTTGGACCCGCATTGGAGATCTACGGTGTGCTGGTGACGTTCCTCTGCTTTGACTGTCTTTGTTTCCAGCTGATGGTCGCTACAGCACCTATTTACCTCTACAGTCATCTTTAACCAGGAACATGTGCGTTGGGATAGTGCATTGCATTCGTGTTTATTCATTATAGCATGTTGAAGTGTGATGTACTGCATCACAATATGCTGCAGTGAAAAATATGTGGTTCACATCCTACTTTTTTTCCAGCTCACACCACTACAGTGCAGCGGTGTGAACTGAACAAATAGGACATAAGGAAATTTGCCTTGTCCATGTGTCAGGACTGGACTGCCTGGTTATTGCTGCCCAGCACAAGCCATGGTGCCTGCTGTGAATGAGCCCTAAGGCCTTGTTCACACCCTATGTGCTTTATGCATTATGCAAAAATTCATTACAGTCCATTTAACATGGTTTCCTATAGGACACGTTCACGTTTTCAGCTGCTGTGTTTTTGGATAGGGCCAGGGACTTTTTTTCCCATAACAGATTGCAACACACATAGGCGTGAACCAGGCTTTAATCTGACCGAGGAGTGAAAACTAGCATGCTAGGATTGCAGCTGAAGTTTCTGTGGAGGGATTATTACTCAAACTTTCAAATTAGAGATCAGAGTTAGTTGGCTGTAAATAGTTTAGGAGCCAGAATTGCATATTTACAAACCTTTTAAACCTAATAAGTCCACTATGCCTTTGTGCTGAAAAATCTTCAATATCTTTAAATAGGTGACTGCTTGTGCCTCCTCCCTCAAGTGAAGATGTGTGCTCACCTCATAGATAGCCTGCAATTAGGCTATTAAAGCTTGCGGTTCACCTCCTTTGGAACCTACTTGTATAGGAACTCCTGTTTATAAGATAACCATGAAATGCGACATGTGCTGTGGAAAAGTATCCTCTCACTGGGTGCCACTCCAATGTCTTCTTTTATCCATGCGGTTCTCCATATATAAGAAAAATCCTGACATGGTGCTTTATCGTTTTAAAAGCTTTAATGTGTAGCTGACAGGTGGCACTCACATAAATCGTATAGTGGTAGTACAGCTGTCTCAGACCTCCGCTGACTGTTGGAGCTGTGCGCTCGTGGTCCGATGGCCGGACTGACTCCCTCCGAGTGACGTGAACAGGGGTGGGACTGTTCACGTCACTCGGAGGGAGTCAGTCCGGCCATCGGACCACGAGCGCACAGCTCCAACAGTCAGCGGAGGTCTGAGACAGCTGTACTACCACTATACGATTTATGTGAGTGCCACCTGTCAGCTACACATTAAAGCTTTTAAAACGATAAAGCACCATGTCAGGATTTTTCTTATATATGGAGAACCGCATGGATAAAAGAAGACATTGGAGTGGCACCCAGTGAGAGGATACTTTTCCACAGCACATGTCGCATTTCATGGTTATCTTATAAACAGGAGTTCCTATACAAGTAGGTTCCAAAGGAGGTGAACCGCAAGCTTTAATAGCCTAATTGCAGGCTATCTATGAGGTGAGCACACATCTTCACTTGAGGGAGGAGGCACAAGCAGTCACCTATTTAAAGATATTGAAGATTTTTCAGCACAAAGTCACTAATTTCTCTGTGGGACATTATTATTATACTATATTATTTTTTTTATTTAGTAATTTTTCACTGTTTTTTGAATTTTGCTGATGTGAGTGGATTTCAAGAGATTCACAAATGCAGTCATCTATGTATATCATATACACATTTTTTATTGGTTTAGATATATAGATTGGAAGGTTGTGAGCGCAATACTTTATTTTTATTTCACGCTTTTTCACATTGGTAGTTATGTGCTAGAAGTTTGCGATCCAACAATAGGAATTTGATTACTTGGCTCGCAAGATATTTTTTTCATATAATTAAGTCCACTATGCCATTCCAGTCAGCCTGGAACCCTGATGAAGGGGGTATCATAAGCCCTCAACATTTATGCTGTTACACAGTTAATATTTATGTTAATGTACATGAGAATTCATATAGTTTATTTTTTGTACCATTTCCTATGGACATTTCTATAGTTAGTTATGCTGCCATCCAGTGGCCTTATTTGGTAATGCATTTGTTTTATATTACCTCCCTGAGATCTATGACACAGTTCCTTTGTATATGAAGCTCCTCCCTTCTTCTTGAGTACAGCACTTCCTGTGTCATGGAGGCAGCTAACAGACCACATGTAACAGGGACACATGTATTCTGCATAGTACGCTACAGAAAGTATCATCTTTTGACCGCATAATACTGGAAACCATTAATTCTGCTGTATCCTGTTGTCACATGTACAGAATAAAGTAACTTCTGGATGAACACAGTATTGGTGAGTTCAAGCTATCTGATAAGGATTGTCCACAGTGATTATCTGCTTATACAGGCTAGGCAGAGAGGTCTCACAAGGGATAAATCGCTATCACAACAATCTGAGTCAGAATAACATTCATTAGATTAGCTGAGAAAACAAAAAAACCTGTACTCGCAATCATGGTGTTGCACTCTTTCTACTTACTTTTTGTTACTGTCTTTGAATATGTAGCACCCTATGGTTTGGTTGCTAGTAGGATTAAGGTAAATTTAGTTTTTGGCTCCTCTGTAGCCAGCAGAATTTTGATTACTTTTGGCTGTTCTGGGTCCTGCTGGTTGCAGGCTCAACTGCTCCCCCCTGCCTTCTAGTGAGTTCTAGAAAGTAATAGGTTGGAAGGGGCAGACCCTGGACTTGAATAGTCATACAACCTAAGCCAATCCCCGGGGGAGAGAGAATGGCCAGTAGGGGGGGCGAGGGGTGTATAAATAGTCTGGGGCCTGGAACAGCAGGGTCCTTGTCCTTGTGGAG